TGAAGTGGGAGGATTGAGCCTGGGGAGTGAAGGCTGAAGTGAGTTGTGATTGTGCCACTGTACTCCAGCCTGGGTGACAGAGCCAGATCCTGCCTCGAAAGAAAGAAAACAAGTGTGATACTGACATAAAAACAGCCATATAGACCAATGGAATAGAGAACACAGAAATAAACTCCCTTGTCAAATGGCCCTCAACAAAGTGCTAAGACTATTCAATGAGGAAGGGATCATCTCTTCAAATGGTGCTTGGAAAACCGGATATCCATGTGCAATAGAATCAAGTTAGACCCTCATCTTACACTACACGTAAAAATTAAGATGGAGTAGGGACCTAAATGTAAAACCTAAAACTATAAAACTCCTAGAAGAAAACATAGGGGAAAGCTTAATGATACTGGGTTTGGCAATGAATTCTTGGATAATGCCAAAAGCACAGGCAAACAAAACCAAAAATAGACAAATAGGACTATATCAAAATTAAAAGTTTTTGTGCATCAAAGGACACAACCGCAGAGTGAAAAGGCAACCTACAGAATGGGTGAAAATATTTGCATATCATATCTCTACGAAGGGGCTAAGTAATCATCTTCTCTCCACTGTATCAGTAATTTTTAAACTGCAGATTACTTCAGACCAGTTTCTTTTCTCTTCTTCAAATGGAAAACAGAAAAAAATTTAGCACAGCACTTTGCATAGTAAAAGTATATTGTTTTATGATAGTTTAATGTAATAATACACATACACATGTAATTCAGCTATTGTATACTGAGTTGCCTGGCACACAAAGACACTCATTACTTAAGAAAGAATGAATGAAGAATATAATCTGCACTGCTCTAACTTCAATTACTAACTATTAATGACAATAAGAGATATTTATTGAGCAAATATTTTGTTAAATGCTACCTTCCCTTTTAAGGATGACAAAACCAAAATTCATTAAGGTTAGATAACTTGTCTAAATTTGTACTAATAGTAAGAAATAGAGCCAAAATTCAACCTCATCCTAACACCAAAACTCTTGCCTCTTCTCTATTAATTTGTACAGCCCAGAGATTCTATTTCTGTTCAGTTTTATTTTGTTTTTTTCCAATTCCACTCCTTTCAGCTTCAGAGCCTTAGTAAACACGGTTTTTTCTACCTGGATGCTTTCTTATCCCTTTACCCCACCCCACACTCTGACTCAGTGCCTTCAAACTAACTAAAGCCTAATCTTCTGGGCAAAGTTTACTTTTTAATTTTTTTTCAACAATTGCTCAGAGAGTAGTTGTTTTCATAATTAATCCAAAATTGTCATAAGAAATGCCATCATCACAGAGGGCCAAGTTTAACATCACTTCCTGAAAGCTGTCCTCATATCCTCAAATAAGGTAGGTTGCCCCCAATCATGCCCCCACAGCATTCTTTTTCTCCATAGCACATAACACATTTGTGATACTTGTTCAATGTGTATCTTCTCTACTAGATTACATGTTTCTTGAGAGTAAGGACAAGATCTACCCATAAATAGGGATATAGTACACCTAGAGGCCTAGTATACACTCAATTCATTGAACACTAAACAAATAACAGTCTTCAGTCACCCATACTAAAACCCAGTATACTGCTTTCATAGCCAAATGGAAAGTGGTAAGTGTTTGGGCTCTAGAGGCCAAAGAACAGACTTCTGGCTACACATTAGGGAACTGTGAGCCAATTACATAACCTCTCTAAGCCTCATTCACAAAATAATCAAACATATCTTGTTATAAAAATGAATGATCCCCTATCCCAAAATGTATACAATTATGATCTGTCAATCAAAAATAATAATACACTCTGGGCCATGCATGCAGTGGCTCACACATGTAATCACCACCTAGCACTCTGGGAAGTCGAGGTGAGAGGAGTGCTTGAGTTCATGCGCTCAAGATCAACCTGGGCATCAAAGGGAAACTCCGTCTCCACAAAAAAATTTAAAAACTATCTGGGTATGGTGGCACATGCCTGTGGTCCCAGCAACTTGAGAAGCTGAGGCAGGAGGATTATCTAAGCCCAGGGAGGTAGAGGCTGTAGTGAGCGGACCATGTCAGTGAACTTCAACCTGGGAAACAGAGCAAGATAATACACCTTAAAAAATTAACCATCCCCTTCTTTCCATTCACACTACTAATCTTGTATTTAAGTAATTATTTTCTCTCCTGTTGATCAATGTTTTTCAAGCTGTGGATTGCTTCAAACCAGCTTCTCTTTTTATTTTTTTTGAGTCGGAATCTTGCTCTGTCACCAGGTTGGAGTGCAGTGGCACAATCTAGACTCACTGCAACCTCTGCCTCCTGGGTTCAAGCAATTCTCCTGCCTCAGCCTCCAGAGTAGCTGGGACTATATAGGTGCGCACTACCACACCCAGCAAATTTTTGTATTTTTAGTAGAGATGGGGTTTCACCATGTTGACCAGGATGGTCTCGATCTCTTGACCTCATGACCTGCCCGCCTCAGCCTCCCAAAGTGCTGGAATTATAGGCGTGAGCCACCGCACCCGGCCCCTCATTTTTTAAATACAGAAAAATATATATATACCAGAGTGCATGCACACATTAAGGGTATATTGTTGGAGCACACACAATTTAACTGTTTACTGAGTTAGTGATGTCCATGAACATCTTATTGTGGACTGCAGTAAAAAATTTTGAGAAACACTGCTGCACTACTGCTACAGATAAATATTACTTGAAAATTAAATTTCCTGATGACAGCTCAACAGGAGTAAAAGGAAAATAAATAAATAAATTCACTGAGAAAGAGGCCTTATCAGTTTTGTTCACTGCTGTCCCCCAGAATCTAAAATAATACTTGCTATGTAACAGCATAACATCTCTGAATGATATATCCAGTCCCAACTTAACTTTCCAAAATCTTACAATACTCCTCCTCATTGCCATTTCCAGAACCCCTCAGAGTCTTCCTTTCTGAGCTTTGACACAAGCTGTTCCCCTAGACTAACAAAAGTCCTCCTTTTTTCAACTCACCAAACCAGTTGATTCCTTTTCACTACATTACACTTTATTATAAAATAGTATGACAGGCACAAAGTACACGAGTATAAAAGGAAACAAAGTGATTATGCAGTATATAAAAAATACATTTATCATACCTTTCACATTTAGTATAGTAAACATTTCAGTGGCAATTATGCCATCTTAAAATTTAAAAGGTCTTTTGGAGGATGGCTTCAATTACCAACACTTAATTAAAAATGGGACATTTGACCTAATACCTTATTTTTTTTTTATCTGTATATCCCTTATTCCTGTAGAGGTACTTAAAAATTATACTACTGACTATTCTTTTTCACAAAGAGAGCAATATATAAAAATCTGAAGTCATCACTAAAGACCGAAAGGAGTTTTGGGTACAGCAAACCAAGTAGCTTTGCAATACACAAATCACTTTGTGTCTCATTCACAAATAAGGCAGACTAGAGATTTGGGATGCAAGAAGAAAAGTGGCTATCATAACCAACGGTTTTGGCGGCTGTTTTTAGGAGCAAAGTAGACTAAATAGTCACAGGCTGAATTTTTAAAGTCTCCACATATTAAGCACTGTGTTCTAGAAACTAGACTTTGCATACGTATTTACATAAATGTCTACCTCATCTTCGGATCTTTGGAAAACCTACCATTTGGCTGGAACTATACTACTTTCTTCCTCCCTTGGCTACCTTCAATTTTTTTAAAAAGTCCTATCTTCCATGGAGATTTGTCAAAACATACCACAGAAAACAGCACACACAATTTTTATCATTTGACTTTTAAACATCATCTTTCTTATTCAATTATAAGATAAGCAAATAAAAATATTCCGAGACTTTAAACAAATAGTGTCTCCTACCATCTACTTTTAGACATCTATGTTCAACCCCTACCAGAGTTGGCAATCTAAATACTAGTCTTCTTTAACAGAACTCCTTTCCATTACTTTACCCCTGCTAGAGAGTGAACAGTGGAAAGTTCCAACTTGTGCAACTGTAGAATGAGGTTATAAATCTAGAGGGAGGAGGGAAACTTGACAGTAGACGCTTGTTCTTTTCACTCCATTTAAGCTCCCATAGAGCCAAAAACACTTAAGTTCCAACATGAAATCTATACCTCCCTGTCCGAAACTTATTTCTTAAGTCTCACACTTTCTCAGCTGTAGCAAATTTTATTTCTGAACAGATTAAATCAGTTGCTAGAGAAATAATTTTAAGTCCTCAAACAGAAGGCCATATGAGTATCACACGAAAAAATAACATTTGAATCGGCATAAATTTACATGGTATTATGGCATCATCAATAATACACTGAAGAGTATTTATTAACTTCAAGTATTAATTAACATAAAGATGTGATTTTAGAGTGAGAAAAATACAAGTGCTGGTCTCTAAATACCAAAGTTGAACATTCTTAAACAAATTCCCTTAAAATATCTTACTAAGATATTTGATGTCTGTTTTTCTGTTCTACCCTATCCTGCCAAAAGCTTAGGGTGCTGTGACTTAGGGTCGCTTAAGTGTTGCTCGTGCAGTCAGACGGCAGAACGCGCCCTACAAGGCGTTCAAATGCCTTAGTAATAGAATGCATATTCTGTCTTCCCAATCCTCTGGTGGCTGCGAATGTGCTCCTTGCACTTCAGGCCATCCCAGCCTCACTGTGTTCCGCTCCGGGGAAGCAAGGGTTTTAGAATTTCACCCAAATCTCTTCCTAAATCCAGGGGAAGGAGGCCCAACATTTCCCCACCCTACCTAACGCACCCCACAAGTGAAACGTGTGGTCTAAGAAAAAAATACCTTGCACCGCTCCACCCAACAGGTGGGAAGGAGAAAGGAATGGACAGCTGGGCGCTGAGTCCAAGCCAGGCCTCAAACACGGCGGGAGAGGGAGGCCGCGGCCCCAGCGCGGCCTGAAACCCGTCAGGCGCCTTTCTGTCCCAAGTACCGCCCTCCGCCCCCAGCTAATTTCAAGGAGCCCGCCCCAGCAGACCTTATGAAGGATGCCACTCGATGCCATGAGCCGAAGCCTGGGACAACCCTAGCTGAAGAAGGTACTACACCGCCTCAGTCCCCACAGCCACCACAGCAGCCGCCACCCGCGCCACGGCCGCCAGGTCCAGAGCACGATGCGCATGCGTCGCTGTCCCGGGAGGCGAAAACGTCACGTGAGTCCGCAGCGCGCAGGCCTGGCCCTCCCTGGAATCAGCCCCGCCCTGCAGCCCCGCCCCGTCTCCAGCGAGGGCGGGGACCGCTGCTCACACCTGCTTTTCCCTGTGGTAGGGACTTCCCAAAGGGCAGAAGGCTGGTTTAGGGCCTTTTACACGCCTTATCTGAAACACAGCGCCCTGACGCCTCCCCTCCAAAAAAGGTAAAATGTCATTTTTGGGGGCAAATCTAAGGTTTTCCCAACAATTGTTCAAGCTTTCACACTAAAAAATTTACCTAAAAACGGGCAGAAATTCAGCGTTAAACCCACAAATCTCAACATGGTATAGACCCTGGGCCCACTGTTTCCTGAAAACTAAACAACTGTGGACTTAGGGGTTTGGAGAACGCGCTATTGTTAAAGAAAAAAGTATTTAGTGACACTTGTTAAAACACAAAAAGAGGCCGGGCGCGGTGGCCCACGCCTGTAATCCCAGCACTTTGGGAGGCCGAGGCGGGTGGATCACGAGGTCAAAAGATCGAGACCATCCTGGTCAACATGGTGAAACCCCGTCTCTACTGAAAATACAAAAATCAGCTGGCCATGGTAGCGCGCGCCTGTAGTCCCAGCTACTCGAAAGGCTGAGGCACGAGAATTGCTTGAACCCAGAAGGCGGAGGTTGCGGTGAGCTGAGATCGCGCCATTGCACTCCAGGGAAACTCCGTCTCAAACCACACACACCTGGGTAACAAGAGGGAAACTCCGTCTCAAACCCCACACACACACACACACACACACACACTCTATTTAGCACACGCGCACACACACACACACACACACACACACACACGGACTTTATTAAGGACCATCGCAGTAAGTAAACTGCAGTGGAGACTTACCAGTGGGGAAGAGATATTGGGCTCAACTCCCGGTGCAGCATGGGCAAGTGCAGATTTGCAGCCAAGGAGAAGTGTTAAGTGAATGGAAAATTACTAAGAGGAAACATCAGGGTGAGGGGAATTCTGGCTAAACCCACCTAATAGGATTTTTGCTAAAGATAGGCCAAGATAATCAATCAGACACCACCTGGGGGTGGTGGAGGCTGAGGAACTTGAACAGATTTTGAGGATGATCAGCTATCAAGGATAGGGGTCTATTGCTAATCTGACTTAGCACACTTTTTTGCTAAAACTGGATTTTACCAAAAAAGTGTACAGAAGAGCCTAGCAGAAGATACAGAAGCCTGACTAAATTTGGCCAAGCAAAAAACAAAACAAAACAAAAAAACTTTAAAGGAATATGTTATTCTCTGAACAAATTGAGAGATGTGTGTTAACAATCTTAGCAGTCCTCTTCAGTTGTACCGCCATCTCCACTTTAATTAAAAAAAATTTCTTTCAGCCGTCTCCACTTAAAGAAAAAAAAATTTCTTTCAAATCTGACCTCTCTCCCTTTAAGATTCTGTTACACTTGTGCCCCTGCATTCAGCCATCATTTACCATGTAATCTCTTGTTCAAGGTGGAGTAGTATTACTACTTGGCTCCAAATTCCTCATCTGGTATCTGTCTCCTCTGGAAATAATTATCTGCAAGATGATGTTTCCTGTCACCAGCACCTTCCCTTCCAAATAGCAAATTCAGTCTTTTGTTCTACCTTTTACTTTCATCAAACTGCACCTAGTTGTACCTTTCCCTTTCCATTTGCCTCTTCAACACTCCAAGCTAACTTTTTTGAATTATCTGACAGTGTGGCCAGGTTATTATTATTATTTTTTTTACAGGTTTAAACAGCACTTTTAAAATGTCTCCTATGGGAAGAATAGTCAAGAGAGTGATATGTTGGGAAGACAGGCCAGAGTTTGCTGCTGGCACTGTTACACAGTGACTGGCAAGACCTTCACTGCTTTTCTGGTTCTTTGGTCTTTCCTAAAGTGGCCTCAACTTCTTCATCAGTAAATAAGATTATCTCTGAGATATCATTCACTCAAATAGCCATTTTGTAAAAATCTACTTGCTTCTTCAGCTTTATTCACTGTGGATTCATTGTTTTTATCTAGTTTTTACATTTTACCTTTCAAGCCAGTGCTATTGCTCTCACTCCCCTGCTTAAAAACCTAAACTTTTAGATTGGAAAATGGAGTGTTTCATAATCATGCCAGCCTTCTCACTGTTTCTGCCTCCCCGTAACTCCAAAGAACCTACTGTTCCCACAGTGCTTTTATGTGTCTAAACTTTACGTGGGCTCTTCTCTTTGTCTAAAATGTGATCCCCACTGGCAGAAACACACATTATCTTAAAAATTGATTTAGCCGCCTGGGCAGGATGGCTCACGCCTGTAATCTCAGCACTTTGGGAGGCCGAGGCAGACAGATCACAAGGTCAGGAGTTCAAGACCAGCCTGACCAACGTGGTGAAACCCCATCTCTACTAAAAATACAAAAATTAGCTGGGTATGGTGGCACGAGCCTGTAATCCCAAATATTCAGGAGGCTGACGCAGGAGAATCACTTGAACCCAGGAGGCGGAGGTTGCATTGAGCCAAGATCATGCCACTGCACTCCAGCCTGGGCGACAGAGGGAGATTCCATCTCAAAAAAAAAAAACAAAAAAAACTTTGATTTAGCCTTAGTTGACTTTTTAAAAATTGTGTGTCACAATTATAAGCTTTGGGAAGAAAAAAATGCTGTAGTTTAGAGGGTGGTGGGTTCTAAAAAACAATGTTTAAAGTCATGGGATCTCCAAAACAGAACATAGAAATCAGACAAATGGGAAATTATGTTATTTATTAATGTATTTCTTCCATTTGCCCCTCCAGATCACGGTCTTTCCAATTTACCCTGCTCCATTCTTTGGAGATGGACCCTTGTAGACCATATCAATAGGTTCTCTTGCTTCCTGGTTTCTGGTTGAGTGTGGCCAAGAGAAAGTTCTGGCAGAATGGAAGTGAGGTCAGGGTATTTATTCCTCCAGCTCCTTCTATGTGAGTAATCTCAGCTCTGATCATAGTAGTCCTCTCCATATAATTTCCTTCTTCTAGGTTCCAGGTTTCCCTAAGCCCTGCTTTTATACATAATCCCTTATTAACTACTTCCCAAATTATGCTGATTTTTATTTGCCATCTATTTCCTTCTGGGTCCTGATTGATAAAGGAGCAAAATATAGCTTGTAATACCCAGTGTTAATCCCAGTTTCTGACCTATTCAGTATTATTCCTGTTTATTCTCTTCAAAATGTTAACATTCCATGAAAAAATGCATAAAATACCTCATGGATCATTTAATTTACAGAATATATTTCTCTAGGGAATGAAAATTGGTTTTTTTACTTTAAAATGTAAAACCTACCTTCAAAGTATCTAACAATCAACTGATGCAAATTTAGCTAGCACCAGTGCAACGGTACAAAGGCAGAAGTCATAATTAATCTTAAAATCTGTAACTATTGTTTCAATGATGCATATCAAGTAGGGTTGAAGCAAAATGTAATGATGATTTCAGAGTTTACAACTGAGATCAAATGAATCTAACAGAGGCCTATTTTTTTTTT